TTAAAATGTAAAGACAGTTTGNAGCAAATCATGCATGAACTCAGGGGCGGATCTAGAAATTTTTTTTAGAGGGGACAATAATTGTAACTTGAAATGAATTATTTGCGAATATAACTCGAATTGACCGTGAAAACTCAAGTAACCAATTAAATTTGTTTATTAAATTAATTAAGCTCAAGCTCACATTTTTTTTTGTTTATATAACGAGTCAAGCCAACCAACACATTTATTAAACAAACACGAACTTGATCATGAGGTATTCAACTCGACTCCAATAACACCTAGAAGGAATATACTATATCTATACTTATATAATAAGAATTAACATTTATCCAAAATAGTAGGTCAAATTATGGTCAATGTCTGATTTGCATTAAATATTTTCTAAAACCGGTAAGTTTTTGTCCTTTTCACACTTCTCATTAATTATGTCCCTTTCACGCTTCTCATTAATTATGTCTTTTTCACACTTCTCATTAATTATGTCTTTTTCACACTTCTCATTAATTATGTCCTTTTCACACATCTAATTAATTCATCAATTACGACATAATTATCATAAATCATTCCATCTGAGCTTTTATCGTTAAAATGTATACCGATCTGTTATAACCTTATCCCATAAATATTTCCATGAAGCATCTGTTGATGCTCGAAAATTGATCAACATGGGAGGTTCAGAATTGTTTGTATATATTGAATTTGGCTGTGATTTTTGTATGAATTTTCCAGGAATTACTGTATTTTTCCTTCTGTATTACTGTTGAAGAAACATACAGAATTAGGAAGCCCAGAGGAAATTTTAGGCGGTGCCTCCCCCCTTAGAGATAAGATAGGAAAAATAATAGTAGCGCCCCTCAGACTTATCTATCCAGGTCCATCATTGGGGATATATATATATATATATGTTTAATGGGCCCGATATTATCACAAGCGGTATTATTTAAGGCCCAAAAAATAAAATAATTGATATAATACATATTCACGTGTAATATTATAATAGGCTAGGCCAAAATTTGGTATCAACAGCGTCCTTATCGCATTCTATTTTTTGGTAACCACTCTATATCAATAACCGAATATTTGGTTAATGATAGGACACGTCTTTATTTCAATGAGTGAATATTCTTTGACCATTAACTAATCTGAACTGATTGCCTTGACTTTTCAATTTTTAAAAACTCTTTTTTTTAAAATATTTCGGCTTAAGATTCGGATTTCATTATACAAGTCATCGGATTGTTTGAATGAAAATGAATAAAAAGAACACCAAAAACAGGTAGCCTTATTCATATAACCAATCCTAAAATATTAGTTTGTTCACCAAAAAGAGACAAATCCTAGAAATCCTAATATATTAGTTTGTTCACCAATCCTAAAATATTAGTTTGTTCACCAAAAATATTAGTTTGATTTTTAGGATTTGTCTCTTCTGAAAATATTAGTTTGTGATAATGAGGAGTTACCAAATAATCAAACTCATAATGTTGTGTACAAGGAGGTTTTTAATAATATATGATTGTTACCGAACTTTTTATGATTCAACAATGTTCCTATGTATTTTAATGATTTCAATTTCGATCCTAATGCACGTGAGTTTATATTATTCTTCTAAATTTTACATCCCGTGCATCGCACGGGTTACGTACTAGTTTAATAGTATCACATTTTATATATATATAAGGCATAAAATTGAAGTTTGATATTTTAAATTTGTGTTCAACATTATTTCAAACCACGAGACTCATCAACAATTGACTCTACCAATAAATATTGCAATTCCTTTTCAACTCTCTATTTGAAATTTTCATTTTCAACTTTTCACATCGTATATTCAGTTAATTCGTCACTATATTATAAAATAAAAACACAAATATTATGTTTAAAGATTGTGAAAAATTACTTACAAAAATAGAATACTGTTAAAAATTCTTGATACATAAATCATTTTAATAACTGGTGATGATTATGGGGTATATGTATAGACTTAATATGCTTATAATATATATATAGTATATATTGTACATGGTGAAAAAAAAAACAAATTATTAGCAAAATGCATATATATATGTATATATATAGTAAAAATTAAAAAATTTGGGGGGGACAATAGCCCCCCCTAAGCCACACTTGGGTCCGTCCCTGCATGAACTAATGAAATATTGAATCGATCCATACACAATGTGATCTGTTCGAGGGACCAAATTCATGAATGTTAAGAATTAAGAAAGGGACAAAGGGTTTCAGTGTCTGGCTGTATGTAGCATTATACATTTAGACTACACACGTAGCTTGTCGAGTGGCCTTCACCAAATTCCTGGGACCAATAATAAGTCATAATTCTTCCACTAGCTATCTAGCTAGCTAGTGCGTTTGGCATTTATAATATTATTCCAACAGAACAAAAGGAATATAATGTATTCAAATTATTGTTATTATATAATTTAACAAGTTGTATACTTGTATTGGACAAGCATGCTGTAATAAAAGTATGTATATATTCACATATATATAGTCTACAGCCCAAACAAAGAAGAGCATTTCTATTTTAGATTTGTGCATTCATGTGTGAGTGTCAATACCAAGTTTATGAGCGGCGTGGACATTTATGAGCTTCATGGGAAATACGGGGACCAAAGTACACCAATGTACAACAAATAAATTAAATAAACCCTTCCTAATTCACCGTGAAGTTGTCATTTTGACATTAAGGCATAGTTCGGGCAAGAATATCCGACAAGAATATCCTAGATAGGTTGAGATATCGACCAAGTCGTATAATAAGAAATGATACACACACGCCAATGACTTCTTGCCCTAGTGGTTAAGAGTGAGGCACCCTTGACATGAGGTCAAAGGTTCAAGTCCCCCGGAGCGCAATGGTGGAACAATTAATACTGAAGACTACAAGCGGCAGTGTGAGAGGTTGAAATTCGGTGGGAACCAGCGGCTGGATAGGTGGAGTCAACATGAAGTTGGGGGGCCAGCGAGCAATCACTTCTGTGGGAACCAGCGGCTGGATAGGTGGGGTCAACTTTGGAGCTGAGAGGGCCAGCAAGTAATCACTTGGGGATCGACTCCTTGTGCGCGGTAGTTGAGGGTATGAACCTGGGAGCCATTGCGTGATTACCGCGGTTTAACTGATAGTTTCTGAGGGACCTGGGGCTATTTCGACACACAAGTAGTAGAACTTGGCCAACTCATAACTCAAGCTACACTCTAGACGAGCTATGATATTATCAACTCCCAACAACTCATAGAATTGGATAGCTCATCGAGTTAGTTAATTAATGAATGCTATATCAATATGTATATAACACAAGTTCACATTCAGAGATTTACCATTGTGCATATACTGAGATTGTCACTCATCTTGAAAGCATGCTTGAATATAAAAATTTTCATTTCATACTCAATCAAACTCAATATCTAACTCAATTTGAATTCAACCTCAATTACATATCACATCAACTTTAATCTACTATTAATTCAATAACATAAATTTAATTAACAATCACTTTATATCATATTTCTTTTGCTTTTACACAAATCAACTTTAATTATTTTTTATATATATCATTTTAATTTAAACTCAGAATCACACTAATAACTAATTATACCACATTTTTCTAAATTAACTCCAGTCAACTGAAAAAATTAATTTTAAGCGAAATTTTTTGTATCCAAGCATGCCCTAACTATAATATACAACAATGAAGTTTTTTCTAAGAGGAACAGACAAGTTCAAAATTATGCATAGTAATATCTCTAGTCTTTTTGAATCTTAATGATGGGCTTGTTTGTTTAATGGCTTTTTGCCATACTTTAGCGTTTTTGACACTATTAGCGCTTTGACTCTTTCAATCTAACAAAAAAAAAAACGTTTGGTAAATAGCTTTTGAATTTAGCTTTTTAAGCAAAATCGCTAAAAATAAAAACGCTGCCTTTTGGAGCGTTATGGTTGTCGTTTGAGGTAAAAAAAAAATTAAAGTTATAAATGCCCTTTTCTCTTTCATGGACATCTCGCACAACTCTCTGTGCTACCCATACAACTTCTTCAATTT